CAAGATTCTTAAAGGTGCCAAAAGGTTCAAGTTCACTCTAGGGGCTGACCGAGGAAGGGGGTCCGGGAGGGGTGTGTCTGCATCTGCTTGGCCATCTTCCTCAGCAGTCCTGCTTCACATCAACAATCAGCTGACCTTCTGAAGGTTTGCTCTGCAGCAGACCAGGAGAGGTGGGTATCACTCTGCCGGAGTCCAGGTGGGACAGATGGGATGTGGCCATCGGGTACTCTGAGCAAGTCACGGGGCCAGGAAGCCAAGCTGTTACTGGGCAGGTCCAGAGGACAGGACAGGCCCCCTGGGGTGTGAGTCCTACCCATGGAACACTGCACCTGGTTTGGCTGCTTATTTAATTTTTATTTTTTCAACTCAGGTAGAATATACATACCAACTCTGTGACTTTTTCAAAAATACTTTGATGCCAGGAACTAAAACAAAACCATACCTTCAGGGCCATTAAACTAGGTGATTTCTGAGTTTCCTTTTTTCCACTCTGCCATTTGCTGGTTTTATGAATGATGGCCTGTTTTGCAGATCCTGCCAAGCGGGTGGGCCACAGACCTCAGAAGCAGACTCATGAGGGGGCAATGAACTCAAATACGCAGTAAGCACCAACCACAGCCTATGGGGGAGGCCCCACATTTATCAAGCCATCGCGTCCAAATGCACGTGGAAGCAGCAATTTAATTCCTCCCTAGCAAGTTCAAACTAGTCGGGAGAGGCTCTGTCCTTTGATCCCAACCTCCCTCACATTCCATCCCATGAAAAAAAATTCCAGGGAGCTTCTCTTTTTCTAAGGGATGTCTGGTAGATTTTTCTGGAAAATAAAATTCTATTTTGAATATATTAGGACATTTCATTCATTAAAAGAAACTCAGAAGAGAATCCTTGGGAAAAGGGAAATTCTCCTACAAAAAATTATTCATACTTCAATCTTCTTTATATTTTCAATCTTTACATATTATTCAGAGTAAGATCCACACACTATATAGGATCTTGAGAGTAAAATGACAATCATACTTAAGAAGATATACGTTATTATGTATAAGAAATTAAAGTTGTTACAATAATGAATTTTAAATATACCAGACGTAACTACTCCACCTGGTTCATCCTCCTTGATTTTTTCGTTTGTTTCCAGATAGCAAAACTATCTCAAAAGGTTGCACACGTAGAACTATAAACTGACAACATCACAGTACAGCTCCTGTTGCTCAATCTCCCAGCTGAGAGGAGCAAGGGTGACACTGGTACAAGGTGCGTGAACCACTGGTTCTGGGCACTGTCCCATGACTATGCAAGCTGCAAAGAAGTCTTGGTGCCCTTGGACTTGGAGCTGCGTGGTCTCCTCTTGCTCACTCATGCTTCCTTCCCTGCTTCAGCCTGCAGGGACAGTCATGGGGTGTGGGGAGGAGCAGGCCCCACAGGTAGCCAGCTGAGGGTTCCAGGCCAACTTATGGTCTGCAGAGCTAGAAACCAGTATTGGAGCCCATCCTCCCATCCATGAGATGGGCTGACCACTCCCACCTCAGAGTGGGCTACAGGGAATTAACTGAGATTAAACGGACTGACCCCTAACGGAGGCTGAGCACACAGCAAGCACTCCAGCCCCCAGTTCTTGCTCTGTCGCAACACCTACAGCAGGCACACAGAGCATCCTCAAACAATACCACCTCCAGAAAGCAGCACATTCAGAAAGGCACAACACAATACCCTGCAGGGCCACCGTGCTCAGAACACAGTCACGGTCCCAGAAAATAACAATCACTTTGGAGTTGGGGGCCCCAAAAAGGTCCAATGATTTGCCCCAGACCAGGTCACGGGCAGAGGGCAGACCCAAGGTGGTAGGAGGTGCTTACACCCACCCTTGCTGCCAACTGTCACAAAATCCTGAGTTTAAGAATCACCTGAATGTCTTCACCTCAACATTTTATATCCCGTACAATCTTTACAGAGTAGCATTTGTTTTATTTTGTTTTTCCTCCTTATGTTTGTCTCTAGATGGGATTATGGATAGCAATTTTTCTTTCTTCTTGCTAAATCAGTGTTGTCTTATTTTTCTATACCTGACAAAATATCCTGCCGTAACAGGAACCCAACCCTGTCTAAGCTGTGAGGTGTCTGCTCCTATGGGCAGGGAGGAAAGGCACCATTTTTCCTCCCTCCTCAGCACCCATTCAGACAAAAGTGGTAGTAAGTATTCGAGCACCAATCTTAGGTCCCAGAGGGGCTTGTGGCCATGGACCCATGGTTTTCCTACAAGTGAGCACAATACTCACAACATGAATGACAGGCTGGGAGGTGGAAAGAACACACTGCGCCTTCTTCAGAGGCCTCCTGGAACTCAGTCAAGACCACAGTGACCCGTGCAGGCCACATCGTTCCTTCCTCATCAGAAAACTACAACCTCCACCTGTCTGCCTCTCAGCCACCAGAGCTGGACATGGCCCCAGTACCCCTAGGGTCACCACCAGAACTGGACAGGGACCTAGCACCTCTAGGGTCAAGGGCACGGTCACCCCCTGACATAATGACTGGGAATGGGCAGGGGCCATGGGGAAGGGTGGCAACATCACACCTGCTTACATGCCCCCTGCAACATGCCACCAGAGGTGGGCCTTCCTCAGTGCCATTTCTCACCTGGGCAGATGCAAGCCCTCAGCACATGTGCTAGAGGCACCAACTTCCACAGTCTCCTTCCCAGAAAGTGCAGCACTTGTCTTCCATGGGGCAATTCTCAAGCCTCCCAGTGTGACAGAAAGCAGCAAGTGTGGTTTCCACATGCAGAACCCATGGCACCCCTGTGTGAAGTACACTGTGAACTTGGCCACAGAAGTGACTCTTGCAGCCATTCTGCAACTGTCTGTTGGGGACTCCAGGGTCGGAGGCACATGCCTGGTTACTCCACAGAAGGCGCATCATGCCAAGTGAGTGACAGGGACACCTTCCCAACAAGGTTCACGTCGGGGATGCTACCTTGGGCAGGAGGAACCAGCTGACCACATGGGGGCTTCTAACAGGTGCATTATTCATAGTTTTCAGGGCAACACTGCCCATGCCATTAAGCTCCTGAGACCTATGTGAGCAGGAATTTAAATGCTGATGTTCCAGAGTTACTAGGTGCTACCTTTCTGAACCCCCAGGCACATAAGACAAGAACGGATCCAATGTTAGCATGTGTGTGAAATGCAGATCCTGGCTGGAGTCCAGGCCCCTAGAACTGTGCCTGGCATAGAGTCAAGGTTCTAGAAATGCTGCCTCTATTATTACCAAATACCACAACTATCATGAGCATATACTTAAGGTAATACATATACTCACAAAGTTATCAACCACATTAGCCAAATAATCATTTAATTCAAACTAAAAGCTCAATCAAAATGTCCCATTTGCCCACCAATTTTATCCATATAAAAATTCACTAGGTAACAAATACAAGCATAGGACTGAAAGCAAAAGAAAAAAAAAAAAAAAGGCTGTTGAGAATCATGTCACTGGCTGAAGCATATTCTAGAATAAAATGCAATTATGTACACCTGACACACTAGTCAGTACTCCTAAGTACCCATGCACACGAAGGTGGTCTTGTGTGTCCGGGAGATCATCTGAAACTTTTGAGTCAAGATATTCTGGGCCCCAAAATGATGAAAGCATGTTCCTACTAAAACTGATAAGCATTTCTTAGAGTAAGTGAATAATAATATGCCAATAGACTAAAGTAGCTTAGAAGGCAATTACTTCTGCTTCTGGCTGAGAAATAAAGCAGAAAAGTTTAAATATCTACAATAGCTAAGGTTAACTTATGGATCTTTAATGCTGGCATTTCATTAAGCACATGATAAGAAAGAGAGTCCTCGGCATTCTCGTCTACCCCTCAGAAAGCATAGGTGGCTTCACGTTGCCCTGTCCTCTGTGGTACCATGGGGAGGGAAGGCAATTTAAGTCTCAACCAGAGGTCAGGAGCAGGCGACTAGACCCTTGGCACATGTCTGACAGGGGGCTCTGCCGGGGCCTAAGGCAGATGGTCAGGAAGACTCCTGAACACGGGGCATGCTGACAACACTATCCCCTCCCAAAGAGCACACAGCTGACTGTTCCCTGAGCTCACCCGCAGACTGGACCCAGGCCTGAGAGTACTGCTCCTGGGGACAGACACCGCATCTACAAACAGCCTGTCCTGGACCACTGTTCCACAGCCACGTTGATTTACCTGCATGTCCCACTATACCAGAAGACATTTTCATGAGGATGTAGAAGTTCAGACTCAAGTCCAAGGACACACTCAGTGAGAACATGAATGGGATATCCTGTGCCCTGGCCTACATCCTTGGGGCCCCTCTCTGCACAGTTCATTGGCTCCTGCACTGCAGGGCACGCTACACCAACTCTGTGTCAGAAATAAGAACAGAGAGACTGACGGGTTATGTCTTGAAGTTACACGGCAGCACAACCAGTGTGGCAACCTCGGCCTTTTGGTCTGTGAGCAATTTCTGCTACAACATGCAGGTGACCAAATCTGTGACATAAAATATCCTGGAAAAAGTACCTCAGCACAATGAATAATGAAGGAAGCATAAAACAACAGTAAATAAATATCCATAATAATTCCTAAGGAGGTTCAAATTATAGCAATCACGAATCCATTTTTACACTTAACTGATAGAAAAGTAAAAAAAAACAAGATCCATTGATTTGAAGGCTTCAGGAAAAGGCACTTTTTAGCTGCTGGTGAGCAACTGGCAACAAAGAAGCATTCTGTTCACCATCATAAAACAGTATTCCAAACCCAAGAATTCATCTGTAGGAAATCATTTTTTAAATAAGGAGATATGTGGAAAAAGGGGTTGATAATACCATTAACTTTTAATACTGGGAAACTGGGCTTCCCAAATACCTATCCCCAGACAAAATCAGTCATGGCATTGATTCCTTTACAGCATTTTACATCTTAGGGAGGGGTGCTCTGCATGTCTAAACCACAAGCCCAGCCCCTGGTGAAATACCTGCTTCATGTAGGCATAGCACATGGTCTCTGCGACACGTTTGCCTTCATCATAGCAGGCCCGAGGTCCTATTGGATTCACGTGGCCCCAGTAATCCTCACTTTGAGGGTGGACTTCAGGATCTATGATGGGAGAAAAGTGAGACTGTTTTCATCTTTCCTTTTTCCAGTTCACACCAACAATGCATATTTATGCTACAAAATAGAACTTTGGAAAGACCCATTTAGAGATGGAGTGATGCATTCAAGAGGCGACCTCAGGTTTCCAGTCCATTCTCTGAGTTCCAGTAGGACATGATGGTCTTACTTCTGATATTAAGCAATGACAACATTTTACTTAAACGAAAAAAAAAAGAAAAAGATCAAGTATCCCAATTTTAAGTCCTCCCTCTCTTCTGTAAATTGTTCTTAACTTTTAGAGTGCTACACAAATTATAACGAAATAGAATCTATGTGAAGAGCTACATGGTTTTGTTTTATACTTATAAAATCGATAACTGGAGCAAAACATGTATTTATTGAAAAAATAAAAAATGCAGCATCTCTGGAACACAATGACTTTGACATGCACCATCAGCTGAACAAATCTGGGACCTGTGATGAGACAACAATAGAGGGTGTTGTAGGGCAGGTGGAGGGATGGGGTGTCCCCTGGCAAATGGCTGCCTGTTCTTCTAGCACACATTTTACACTCCCAATTCCTGTTTCTCCAGCTTGTAAATCAATCACACTTTAAGAAATACCAGGGGAACAGACTACTGGAAGAAAACACGTAACAAATTCTTTTTTTCACACAAGTATATTTCTGGAATGTGAATAAACACCTAATTTATTTAGTTACCAAGAATGTTACACATACTTGAGTACAACTATGATACAAAATGTTTAAGTCTTTGCCATGAAATCTGGACCAAAAAAAAAAGCAAGCATTGTTACAAATTCCAGTCTTGTTTATCTTACCCCTGCGGTCTGACTTGGGACTCAGTGGGCCTGAGCAGGTGCAGGGAGGTAAACAGACAGGTATCCTGCCACAGGTCTGCTCAGTGGATCCCTCCAGGTCAGCATGGCCTCTGTGGCAATGCAGAAGCATGCTGCAAAGAAAGGACTCTGTATCTGCTGCTGTGGTTTAAAATTCCCTTTAGAAGGGCAAACTTCTCACTGCTCAGTGAAAGAAAAGTTCTAAGAAAAATACTTTCTGAGAGAAGGGAACCACTGACTTAAATTCACAGAGATTTATCAGGTGATTGATCTCAGACCTTTTTCTGGGGATCTTTGACAAGAGCTGGGCAAGCTACACTCCAAAAGAGACAGTCATACGTTTGGCAAAGGATAAGAAAGAAAAGGCTGGGTATGCCCATCTGTCCCTGGACTGGCACCGTCTGGACTGAAATGCCCAGGATGCCAAGCTTCTAAATAGGCTCCCTCACAAAATCATTGTGGAGAAAAAGCAGGGAAAACTTACATTGTTAATACAAAAATAATTTTCGATCATCTCCCCTTTCTAGCATTCTGTGAGGCTAAGATGTTAAGTAAATGCTCCACGAAAGTTTACTTTGGTTATTCAAGGTCAGAGGAGAGAGAGCACCTGTGACTTCCACAAATTACACTCCACAATTATTTAGGAAGCCTAAGGAACACAGGCTCCTGTCAGACATGCAGATAATAGATGAGAAAAGTGGGGGAAGCAGTGTGAAAAATGTCACTTTGCCCCTCTCAACAGATACCACAAGTAGGGAGGGGCACACTCTGCTCTTTTATTAACAACTGCCCAGGACTTCAAAAAACTAGACTATGATATAAAATATATAATCTCTATGTAACCTTTTCATAGAGATTACAAAGAATATCACTGCATTTAGAATTTTTCTGTTGCTATAATTTTTTAATTCAGTTTTCTTACTTAAAATACACACACACACACATCTCTTCCAATTTTACCCTCTTACTTCCTTCTCTTCTCCACAACAATAATGTAAAATAGAAAAATTACATCATGCCAGGACCTGGCTTCCACTGCATCGGCTAAGCAGTTCTGTTAACCTTGCACACCCAGCTGGTTTGGGGCTGAAGAGAAATCAGTACAAATTGAAATACACCCCTGGTCCCCACTCCTCAACTCCTTTCCAGGCAGTGGGAGAGAGGACGGCTGCATCGTGGTAAAATAAGCTCATGAGTTTTCTGATACTACCTGCTGAGGGTTCTTCCAGACTCGTTATACAACAGGGGAGGCAGTCAGTGCATGTCTCTTCTCCCAGGAAGCTTTAAAGGTCAGCCTAAAGGCTGGCCCATGAGCTCTCAGGAGGTCAAGCATACAGCATGCATGACTTACACAGAAGAATGACGTGCTAGCTAAACAGGTAAAAAGATCCATAGAGAGCATGATTTCTGGGGTGCTTTCAGAGCAGAGTGGCAGAAACACTTCTGTGGAGTCATAAATGGTGGGTCTTTATTGGCCAGGCGACAGGGTACAGTCCTCCAACAGTGTGTGATCAAACAAGAGAAGTCATCCCACCCGGAAGAGGAGCTCCGTGACCCGGGAGGCTGACAGGCAGCCACTTGCGCACAGGAGGAACATGGGCAGGCTGGGCCTCCTCAGAAATGAACCATGGACTCATCTGATACAGGATGAGAACAGTCCAAGGGCTGGAGTGAGCATCCCCTGAGACAGCCCCCACTCACCTCCATATACCTCAGAAGTGGAGGCCAGGAGCAGGCGGGCACCGACTCGTTTTGCCAGCCCTATAGAAAGCAAAGACAAGATAAAAGAGACTCAATTTACATGTGCAGGCACATTTTTTGCTGGCCAATTTAAGCAATGTTTTAGTATTAAAGACATATAATTATCTATCCAATTATCTGCTCTGGCACCAAAATAAAAAACAAATGCAGTAAGAAAAACACAAATGGGTTCTCTGAAGGCCAGTATTTTGTTGAATACTTGTTGTAGGCGAGGCCAAATGCAGAATCTGTTAGTTTGATAAAGAGTGATTTGAGGAGTTTTGTAAAGACTCCTCTGCCACAAAATATTACCCAATATTTTATTGCGTAACTTTACCTTGGTTGGCAGAGGCAAGGCCCTTCTCTCCTTAACTTCCACAATGGTCCACCTGCCACTTCCTGAACATGTCCTGGGCTCTTGTAACTGCCCATGTCACCCTGTCTGCGTAACTCTCCACCCATTCTCCTTCCTCCTTTGAGGTTCAGCTTAAGCAGCACCTTCTCCAAAGCAACTGCCACATTCCTGAATGCTGCTCTGAACCCCTTTCCTGGACTGACAACTCACATGTAACTGACTAGAACATCATTATCTATGGTGGTCAAGTAAGTAGCAAAGTCTTCCAAACTCATTCACAGAGTCCCAGCATGCAGTGGTTCATTAGAGGCTCCAAGAAGCCCCCTGACCTTCAATCACCCTGTACTTAAGACAGGGGACATACCCCTTCCCCAACTGCCACTACACTAGAGGGGGGCTATGCTGGACACCCCTCAGCTCTGTTCCCTACACAAAACAGGGGCCAACAGATGCCCACAAAGCACTGCTAGGAGAGCGAGATGCAACCTAACCTATACGCACTTCCAAGTGAGGCTGGGTGGGGTAGAAGAATTCTAGCATGAGGGAACCAGGGGTATTAGCGTGTCTGACAATGTAGCATCAAAATGAAGGATGCTGAAATCTTTTTTCCTGATTGAATTCTTTATTTTGAGATATTTGTACATTCAAATTCAATTGTACAAAGTAATACAGGGACCTCATAAGTCTTTTATCCAGTTTTCCCCAATGCTAGAACTTGCAAAACTAGACTATGTCACACCCAGGACATTGACATAGATCTGATCAGTGAATATTTCCACTGAAATGGACATTCCATTGATACAAGTGATAGAGCATTTCCATCTCCATCAGGATCCCTCACATAGCACATGTCTATAGCTTCTCCTCTCTCCCTCCCCGCCGTTGCTGACCCCTGGCAATCACTAATCCATTCTCCAGGTCTATAATGTCATTTCAAGAATGATACATAATTGGAATATGACCTCTTGGGACTCAATTTTTTCACTGGGCACATTCCTCTCAAAATCTATCCAAGCTGTACTGTCTATCAACAGTTTCTTCCTAATCCATTGCTATGTGAAATTCCAGCGGATATATGCACTGCTATTAATAATTCACCTAATATAGGACATTCTGGTTACTAGTTTTTGACCACTAAAAATAAAGCTGCTATGAACATTCATACAGGTTTCTGTATGAACATAAATTTTCATTTCTCTGGGAGAAATGCCCAAGAATACAATTACTGAGTCATATGGTTAAGTGCATAGTTTTTGTTTTTTTTTAATTGCATTTTAGGTTTTGGGGTACATGTGCAGAACATGCAAGACAGTTGCATAGGTACACACATGGCAGTGTGTTTTGCTGCCTTTCTCCCCTTCACCCACATTTGGCATTTTTCCCCAGGCTATCCCTCCCCAGTTCCCCACCACGCTGGCCCTCCACTTTTCCCCCCAATAGACCCCAGTGTTTAGTACTCCCCTCCCTGTGTCCATGTGTTCTCATTTTTCATCACCCGCCTATGAGTGAGAATATGCAGTATTTCATTTTCTGTTCTTGTGTCAGTTTGCTGAGAATGATGTTCTCCAGATTCATTCATGTCCCTACACACGACACGAACTCATCATTTCTGATTGCTGCATAATATTCCATGGTGTATATGTGCCACATTTTCCCTGTCCAGTCTATCATCGATGGCCATGTGGGTTGGTTCCAGGTCTTTGCTATTGTAAACAGTGCTGCAATAAACATTCGTGTGCATGTGTCCTTATAGAAGAATGATTTATACTCCTTTGGGTATACACCCAGTAATGGGATTGCTGGGTCAAATGGAATTTCTATTTCTAAGGCCTTGAGGAATCGCCACACTGTCTTCCACAATGGTTGAACTAATTTACACTCCCACCAACAATGTAAAAGTGTTCCTTTTTCTCCACATCCTCTCCAGCATCTGTTGTCTCCAGATTTTTTAATGATCGCCATTCTAACTGGCGTGAGATGGTATCTCAATGTGGTTTTGATTTGCATCTCTCTGATGACCAGTGATGATGAGCATTTTTTCATATGATTGTTGGCCCCATCTATGTCTTCTTTTGTAAAGTGTCTGTTCATATCCTTTGCCCATTTTTGAATGAGCTTGTTTTTTTCCTGTAAATCTGTTTGAGTTCTTTGTAAATTCTGGATATCAGCCCTTTGTCAGATGGGTAATTCCCATTCTGTTGGTTGACGATTCACTCTACTGACTGTTTCTTCTGCCGTGCATAAGCTGTGGAGTTTGATTAGGTCCCATTTGTCTATTTTGGCTTTTGTTGCCAATGCTATTGGTGTTTCGTTCATGAAGTCCTTGCCTACTCCTATGTCCTGGATGGTTTTGCCTAGATTTTCTTCTAGGGTTTTTATGGTGCCAGGTCTTATGTTTAAGTCTTTAATCCATCTGGAGTTAATTTTAGTGTAAGGTGTCAGGAAGGGGTCCAGTTTCTGCTTTCTGCACATGGGCAGCCAGTTTTCCCAACACCATTTGTTAAACAGGGAATCCTTTCCCCATTGCTTGTTTTTGTCAGGTTTATCAAAGATTGTATGGTTGTAGATATGTTGTGTTGCCTCCGATGCCTCTGTTTTGTTCCATTGGTCTATATCTCTGTTTTGGTACCAGTACCATGCTGTTTTGATTACTGTAGCCTTGTAGTATAGTTTGAAATCCGGTAGTGTGATGCCCCCCGCTGTGTTCTTCTTGCTTAGAATTGACTTGGCTATGCAGGCTCTCTTTTGGTTCCATATGAAGTTCATGGTGGTTTTTTCCAGTTCTGTGAAGAAAGTCAATGGTAGCTTGATGGGGATAGCGTTGATTCTGTAAATTACTTTGGGCAGTATAGCCATTTTCACGATATTAATTCTTCCTATCCATGAACATGGAATGTTTCTCCATCTGTTTGTGTCTTCTCTGATTTCGTTGAGCAGTGGTTTGTAGTTCTCCTTGAAGAGGTCCCTTACGTTCCTTGTGAGTTGTATTCCAAGGTATTTTAATCTTTTTGTAGCAATAGTGAATGGTGGTTCGATCTTGATTTGGCTTTCTTTAAGTCTGTTATTGGTGTAGACGAATGCTTGTGACTTTTGCAGATTGATTTTATATCCTGAGACTTTGCTGAAGTTGCTTATCAGTTTCAGGAGTTTTTGGGCTGAGGCGATGGGGTCTTCTAGGTATACTATCATGTCGTCTGCAAATAGAGACAATTTGGCTTCCACCTTTCCTATTTGAATACCCTTTATTTCTTTTTCTTGCCTGATTGCTGTGGCTAGAACTTCCAGTACTATATTGAATAGGAGTGGTGAGAGAGGGCATCCTTGTCTAGTGCCGGATTTCAAAGGGAATGCTTCCAGTTTTTGCCCATTCAGTATGATATTGGCTGTTGGTTTGTCGTAAATAGCTTTTATTACTTTGAGATACGTTCCATCGACACCGAGTTTATTGAGGGTTTTTAGCATAAAGGGCTGTTGAATTTTGTCAAATGCCTTCTCTGCGTCAATTGAGATGATCATGTGGTTTTTGTTTTTGGTTCTGTTTATGTGGTGAATTACATTTATAGACTTGCGTATGTTGAACCAGCCTTGCATCCCCGGGATGAATCCTACTTGATCATGATGGATAAGTTTTTTCATTTCCTGTTGCAATTGGCTTGCCAATATTTTATTGAAGATTTTTGCATCTATGTTCATCATGGATATTGGCTTGAAGTTTTCTTTTCTAGTTGGGTCTCTGCCGGGTTTTGGTATCAGGATGATGTTGGTCTCAAAAAATGATTTGGGAAGAATTCCCTCTTTTTGGATTATTTGGAATAGTTTCAGAAGGAATGGTACCAGCTCCTCTTTGTGTGTCTGGTAGAATTCGGCTGTGAACCCATCTGGACCTGGGCTTTTGTTGTGTGGTAGGCTCTTAATTGCTGCCTCGAATTCTGCCCTTGTTATTGGTCTATTCATAGTTTCAGCTTCCTCCTGGTTTAGGCTTGGGAGGACACAGGAGTCCAGGAATTTATCCATTTCTTCCAGGTTTACTAGTTTATGTGCATAGAGCTGTTTGTAATATTCTCTGATGATGGTTTGAATTTCTGTGGAATCTCTGGTGATTTCCCCTTTATTATTTTTTATTGCATCTATTTGGTTGTTCTCTCTTTTCTTTTTTATCAATCTGGCTAGTGGCTTGTCTATTTTGTTGATCTTTTCAAAAAACCAGCTCTTGGATTTATTGATTTTTTGAAGGGTTTTTTGTGTCTCTATCTCCTTCAGTTCAGCTCTGATCTTAGTTATTTCTTGTCTTCTGCTAGGTTTTGAGTTTTTTTGATCTTGCTCCTCTAGCTCTTTCACATTTGACGATAGGGTGTCAATTTTGGATCTCTCCATTCTCCTCATATGGGCACTTACTGCTATATATTTTCTTCTAGAGACTGCTTTAAATGTGTCCCAGAGACTCTGGCATGTCGTGTCTTCTTTCTCACTGGTTTCGAAGAACTTCTTTATTTCTTCCTTCATTTCATTGTTTATCCAGTCAACATTCAAGAGCCAGTTGTTCAGTTTCCATGAAGCTGTGCCGTTCTGAGTTGGTTTCTAAATTTTGAGTTCTAACTTGATTGCACTGTAGTCTGAGAGACTGTTATGATCTCAGTTGTTTTGCGTTTGCTGAGGAGTGATTTAC